GGAAACAGGAGAAAGGAAGGGAGTTCCACAGGCGAAAGGTGCGAGACATGAAGCTATTAGAGTAGAAGATACGGCTACATTTAGGAGTTTCGACAGTGAAGGGGTGAGAGCGGGATGCCAGCCTCGTAGGGCGCTGGAACTCATGAAGTCTGGGAAACAGCGAATGCAGCTCCTCGGAGCAATTACCATGAAAGTATTTGTAGAACAGACAGAGGGAGGCGACGGCGCGTCTGTGAGAAAGTGACTGTAACACATATACATATATATACACACACACACATACACACACACACACATATATATGTGTATATATATATATATATATATATTAGAAGAACCGAGGGTTACACTTTATAAGTGTCTAAAAAATAAATACTTACAAATGTAAAATAAAATAAGAATTATCATAAAGCTAAATTAGAATATTATTATTCTATGTTTAAAAACATTTATTTTTAATAATAGGAGGCATCGCTGGCCGTTATGAAATTGGAGAAGTACAACTTATAGGGTTCGATTATCAAACAAGGCGTGCGTATTATGCATGAGTAGAAGCCTTTCCCCACACTTTCAGCACAATTTTAGGGCTGCGTATTATAGATGAAAGCGTATTATACATGGGGAAATTACGGTATTTGACCATCGCAGAACCGATATCAAGAACTAACATAGTGTTTGTGTCGTAGTTAAATTCCTTTGTTTACACCCTGGTATTCTTTAGCAAGCCTGATGCCTGAAATAGTCTAATATACACACACACACACACACACACACACATATATATATATATATATATATATATATATATATATATATATATACTAAAGTACGGAGCCATTCACTTAATAAATGTGTAAAAATAAATAGAATCATATAAGTTGACTATGCTTTTATCACTTGTTCAAAAAAAAAAAAAAAATTGACAGATTTCAATTGGTCTGGAAATGTTTATAGTATTAGAATTTTTGTTCATATCTTGTTTTTTTTTATGCAAGTCTTTTCGAACACAAACCCAACAAAAGTAAAAAAAAAAATAAATGACGGAAAATTTATCCACAACTTTGAGCACAAAACTTAACACTTTATCCGAAAATTGGAAAAGTATAACAAAAAAAATTTAAACAGACTTGTCGCTTTTTTTTTTTGAAAAAATTCGTTTTATATATATATATATATATATATATATATATATATATATAGATAGATAGATAGATAGATAGATAGATAGATAGATAATATTAGTGGTAAATATACACATACATATGCAATCATATATCTAAAATATATAAATATACATACATACATACATACACGTACATATATATATATATATATATATATATATATATATATATAAAATCATTCAAGAGGATAGAATCCAGGTAGAACTCAATGTCCAGGACAGAGTAAGGATATAATAATAAAAAAGGCTTAAACACTAATATTCCATGGTCATAATTTATTCCATTGGAATCGTAAATACGTCTGTTACCCCTCCCTATAGCTTTCATTTACTCTAACATTCGCTCCACACTCTCATACATACACTCTCACTAAATTTTATTTTTTATTCCCGGAGTTGTTTTTTCTGTTTTCTTTTTGAATTTATAGGCCTGATGAATTGGATCTTATTTACGATTCCAATGGAATAAATTATGACCATGGAATTTCAGTGTTTAAGCCTTTTTATTATATATATATATATATATATATATATATATATATATATATATATATAATATATATATATATATTAAAGAAAACAAGAACCCGTAAAAGTTTTTACCATTTAACCATTGTCTTTTGTGTGTGGTAGTAGTCCAAAGAATTTAGATGACTATCATGCACAAAAGATAATGGTTAAACCTAAGAAAACAGGAAAAAAAGAAATTCCTTTCAGTAGTATGTAGAAGTAAACATTATTGACCTGATGAAGATCACAAGACGTGAAACGCGTGTAGCAAAAATATGGAAAACAAAGTATAATTTATATTTTAAAAAATCCACATTTTAACCAAAAACATCTGCTGCTTCTCTTTTCTCTTTAAAATATACACTTTTGTCTCGTTGGAACAACTATAATCACATCGTCTCTCTCTGTTTCTCTCTCTCTCTCTCTCTCTCTCTCTCTCTCTCACACACACACACAAATACACACACACACACATATATATATATATGTGTGTGTGTATGTGTGTGCGTAACTTCACATAATCGAAGACTTTACTAACTCTAGAAGAGCTAGATAAATTCACGTTTGTATAATATACACACATGTTTCGGTTTGGTGCATATGGAATAAATTCCAATAACCAACAAATACTATTCTTAAAAGAGTGCTCAATACAAAATGTAGAACAAATATAATTATTTATTCGAAAATTAAAACATAAATAAAATTAAAACTTATATATATATATATATATATATATATATAAGTTTCATTAAAAATTAAAACTTATATATATATAAATTTAAACTTATATATATATATATATATATATATATATATATAAGTTTCATTAAAAAAACAATAAAGTCTGTCTAATTGTTTACCAGATTTTTCGTTTTCAAATAATGTGATGAGCCTTGAAGTTGGCTATAAATAGTTCAAAGTTCATATTTTGTTATTGGTTCAAGTAATTTCGACCATCGCAGTGAATACCAAGAACCAATGGTAATTAGGATTCCCTGGTATTCTTTGGGAAGCCGAAAGTCTGAAAAACCGAGCCTTTTTACTTTATAAATGTCTAAAAAATATATAGAATTATATAAATTGACTATCCTTTTATCGCTTGTTCCAAAAAAGATGCTGAAAGGATTCAGTTGGTCTGGCAATATTTAGCCTATTAGAATTGTTGCTTTCAAGCAATTAAGAAAGTTCAATTTTTTTCTTACAAATTCACATGTCCTTATAATATAAAATATGCAATAATATATATATATATATATATATATATATATATATATATATATTTATTTAAAAATTATAACATAAATAAATATGTTTGTATTGATTTTATAACATATTTATGTTATAATTTTTAAATAAATAATTATATTCGCTCTACTCTGTATTTTGTTACCGTAATTCCCCATGTATAATACGCATTTTTGTTTAATTTATTGTAAAGTACTTGTAATCTCTGATGATAGCGTATGTAAGCCGAAAGCTTCGACAGGATTAACAATAAAAACATGTATCAACATGGTTATTTTCTTTCGTGTTTCAGTGATAATACTAAAAAGCTTATTCGACAATATGAAAGGAATTTACTTAAATACACAAAACTTGTCTATATTATTTAACAAAACATGCATTAATGTAAATATGCTACCTAAATACAAACAATATATATATATATATATATATATTTTGAACAATAAGAAAATAAAAAATTAAAAAATTAAAAAATTAAAAAATCAAAATAGACACACTGGGTTGTAGATTAATATTCTTTCGTTTTTTTTTTTTATTATTATTCCATAAACAAGTTTCATGAAAAACAGTTGGAGATGAACAGTTCAAAGTTCATATTTTGTTATTGGTTCAAGTAATTTCGACCATCGCAGTGAATACCAAGAACCAATGGTAGTTAGGATTCCCTGATATTCTTTGGGAAGCCGGAAGTCTGAAATAGTCTAAAATTGATGTAATGAATATGCATAAACCTGGGTTACCCCTCACAGTAACATGATTGGCTGGTGTCAGCCATAAATACAGACTGATGGGGAGGTACATGGACTACGCCTATTGCCTACCTCTACGACGAGGACCAGTCCATTACGGTTACCTGCTAGATTGTCCTACTTGGTTACAGTAGTTAACAACCACTTTACTACTTCGAACAAATGTATCCCTTTCCGGGACATATCAAAAATATACAAAAAAAAACCCGAGCCTTCCACTTTATAAATGTCCAAAAAAAATGAATAGAACCATATAAATTGACTATGCTTTTATCGCTTGTTCAAAAATAAACAAAAAAAAAACAGATGCTGAATGCCTTCAGTTGGTCTGGCAATGTTTAGCCTATTAGTATTCTTGCTTTGAAGCAATTAAGAAAGTTCAATTTTTTTTTTCTTACAAAATTACTCAAGCCGATAAACACAAACAGGTTTGAGGCATTTATAAAACCTGACAAGCCAAGATACTGCCGCTAGATTCACTATAAAAAAGAGAAAAGAAATAAAAATTTAACCCTTCAGGCGAGGGCATTTTATTGTAATCACTAGGAATGAAAATAATACGACATCGGTTTTCCTCCATGAAATATGCAAATCTATGTACTAACGACGATAGTAAATACGCAGCAACAAAAATCACGTGACCAAATTTATATTGGCAGCGGTAAATATTAAAATACTTTAATAAAGTAAAAATAAATTTGAATATACAAAAAAAAATGAAAGGATATTCCTTTGTAAATGAAAATTTTTTAAATAAATATTAAATAAAAATATGAAGCGTAAAGATTTCTTAAAATATTATTCTGCAAAAAACGACGAAAATATGTACTTAGGCATTAAATGCATTTGCCAAAAGTTGGTAAAAGGTAGCTTAAGATTTATAATGAATACAAACATCTGTCTATCTATCTTCATCTCTCTCTCTCTCTCTCTCTCTATATATATATATATATATATATATATATATATATATATATATATAAGAAATAATCTTACATAGAATCAATCAGCAATATTAATGCTGATTGATTCTATAAGATTATTTTTTATATATAAAATACATGCATTCTAATTTAACACACACACACACACACACACACACACACACACACATATATATATATATATATATATATATATATATATATATATATATATATATACACAATACTTTTCAAATGTATCTATCAAATGTCAATATCTTTTCATACATATCTATGTCAGTAAGTTCATGTCTGTCTGTCAATATATGTATGTATGTATTTATCTATCTATCTTTCTATCTGTATATATATATCTGTCTATCTCAGTCTGTTCATATCTATATATCTATCTATCTAATTTAGTCTGTTCATATCTATCTATCTATCTATCTATCTATCTACTTCAGTCTGATCATATCTATCTCTCTATTCATCGATATCTGTTCATATCTATCTATAAATCAATCTATCTACATATATATATATATATATATATATATATATATATATATATATTCAGTCTGTTCATAACTATCTATCTATTTATATATATGTATATATATATGTATATATATATATACTTCAGTCTCTTCATATCTATCTATCTCTATCTCTCTCTTTCATATCTATCTATCTATCTCTCTATCTATCTCTCTCTATATATATATATATATATATATATACTTTAGTCTGTTCATATCTATCTATCTATCTATCTATCTATCTCTCTCTCTCTCTCTATATATATATATATATATATATATATATATACACATATATATATACTTTAGTCTGTTCATATCTATCTATCTATCTATCTATCTATCTATCTATTTCGCCACTCACCTCATCGTCCATATTGAAATGCTCTTTCTCCGCCATCATCTTTTTATATATATTTATCTACAGCCAACTGAAAATTATGTAGCAAATGCAAATTCAATTTGAAAATTAATCTGCAAGGTACATTACAGCTGAATATAAGTAAACACATTTTACGTTGAATAAATTGGAGGGAAAAGCTTAGAAAGGACGAAAGATGGACGATTGTTTTTTCTGCCTCATTTGAGATTTTCTCAGTATTTATCAGTAATTGCAGATTGTATCTTTAGCTTCAATTCACTTCTAAAGATTAATTTTCTTTCTCTGTTCATCCTTTCCGAATCGTTCGACTTTGCATGTTTATTAAATGCAGCCGGAATGATTTTATTTAGCTTTGTTTTCTCTCCTTACTCAGCCACACTTCAAACAAGTGTATATGGCTGGCTGCTTCAATATATAAAGGAAGACATATATTAATCGTTACAAATAGATATTTCCATTTTGGTGCTTAACTCAATTTTTCAGTATGTATACTTGGCAATTTCTAGTTACTTTGTATTGGTCCTGTGCAGCAAGAATAAAACCTTCATCTCCAGCTTTCAACCATACACTATGTGACCAGTGATGGATACGAGGTTTGTCTACACCAGCTTGATTGTTATGGCCAGAGTATTGACTATGAAGAGGCTTATCTTGCCATCCTTTTTGTATTGGGTACATTGCATTTGCTTTTCTTTTTTTACTATATAGTCAATTGTTTTTGGATATTCATCAAAGTATCTGCATTTCGGGTTAACACAATTTTCTATGAACAATTTTATTATTATTTTCCTTGATTTCTGGTGTATACTCATTTCTTTATGGGTCCCAACCAGAAATCTAAGGTAAAAAATGTCATCATGACATTTTCCATTTTTTGCGGAAAAATACCCTAAGATCACACACATTTTACATGGACAAAGCCCTTGCAAGTTGTGGGCTGTACACTTGAGTACAATACTTTGTATTTCTTTAAGGCATTGGCCACTAAGAATTTCTTTCAGTGAGTCCGCTAGAACACTTTCTAATCAATCCGAGGGCTCCAACTACAACTGGAATTGTTGATGTCCTCGTCTGCCACATTTTTTGCCATGCCAACAGGAAGGTCCATTTTATTTTTGTGGTCTCTAATCACGAGATTTAGCGATTATTATTATTATTATTACTATTATTATTATTATTTTATTTCCTTTTCCTACTAATTTTATAGTAAGTTGAAGAGTCCACAATAGACGCATTAGAGGGAGGACACCACAACAACGTTCTCATGCCCCACATTTTTTTGATTTCGATTTCAAAGTCCTTGTATTTTGATAGTTTTTTGAAGGTCTTCAAAGATACATTACACTCTACAGAGATTAGCAATAGGAAGGCACACTTTGTTTTTGTGGTCTCTGATCACGACGATTAACTTCGATTGTTCCGTCTGTATGTATTGCAATAATAATAATAATAATAATAATAATAACAATAATAATAATTATTATTATTATTATTATTTCCATTGATTTCTGTAGTATACACTTTTCCTTCCGGGTCCCAACCAGAGATCTAAGGTCATAAATGGCTTCATGACATTTTCCACTGATCATTTTTGTAAAATATAAAAAAAAAAAAGAATGCCCATATTTTGCGTAGTAATGTGTGAGCTGTACTTGTTAGTACTTGTTAGTACAATTTTTGTATTTCTTTAAGGCATCGGATTTCCAGGAATTCTTTCAATGGATCTATCGAAACATTTTCCAATCGATCCGAGCGTTCCAACTACATCAAGAATTATTGACGTCCACATGGCCCACATTTTGTTTTGATTTCCAATTCAAGGTCTTTGTATTTTGATAGATTTTTGAAGATCTTCAATGATACATTGCAGTCTGCAGGGACTGCCATATCAATAAAAAGGCTCATTTTATGTGGTGTCTGATCACGATGTCTGCGATTAGCTTTGATTGTTTTGTCTGTGCGTATTGTAAAATCCCATGAAATTGTTACAGGTTGTATGTCTGTAACCTAGTATGGGAGGTGTTCATACCAATTTTTTTCAGTTTCTTTTCCGTAAAAGTTAAAGAAACCGCGTCGAAGAGAGAAGGAGAAAGAAACAATGACTATATATATATATATATATATATATATATATATAGACTTCACACTTATACACACACCCACACGAATATACACACTTACACACATCATACTCACTCACTCCCTAATGAGCCAAATGATAACACACACCTAGAGCAATACACACGCTTACACATATCATACTCACTCACTCCCTAAGTACCAAATAACACACACACAAACACTAAACAGAGACACATCCCCTCTCCAGGACCAATAAAACTGTCAAACTGACCAGAGAATTCAGAGCAACATGTATCTGTCCAGCTCTTATCTCAAATAACAACTTAAAAGAGACTGTTTGACCAACACAAGGAATGTTAAAAGATTCATTTTAAAAAGATAAAAAAAAACAAAAAAAAAAACAACAAATGAAAACTACAGACAAAAGTTCATTTTCTCCAACAAGACATTCATTTCTGTAGTTTAGTGCTACCAGCAAGCAGAAATATTTCTCCTCCCGATGATGGCCATTTTGGTAGAAACTAGTCGAGGGATCTAAATGGAATAATAAAAAAAAACGAAAGAATATTAATCTACAACCCAGTGTTTCTAAAGATTTTAATTTTTTTATTGTTCAATATATATATATATATATATATATAGCCAAGTTCGAATTCCAGTCGAATCCACTGCATTCACTTACGTGCTAATACCCTTGGAAAAGGTATGTATCCTCTTCATCTCCCTCCAGCTATGGGTAAAATAGCAGGACAGACTGGGTTCTATAGCCTTGGATGGCAACTGGTCTAGGAGAAGGACAACTCTGAATTCAAAACCTGCGGAGGGTCGTTTGGGAACCTTGTGGCATGCATTCGGTGCACCAGGTTTCTGTATTCGTCCCTCAAAAAGTGTGGCTGGTCCTGCACAAGGCCTTCACCACTATAAACAAATCTCATGTGCCGGTGTCAGGATGTCGGTTCCTGGGGACTTATCGGCCTGACCCTCATACGTCGAACGCGACGGGAGAGTCGATTATATTATATATATATATATATAAAGTAACAACGAATACATTGAATATATATGAATACTTTGAATATATATGAATACTTTGAATATATATCGAGTAACAAACAAAGAATACATTGATATATATATATATATATATATATATATATATATATATATATATATAGATAGATAGATAGATATAAACCGATTGACATAGATAGATAGATAGATAGATAGATAGATAGGAATAGACTGAGATAGAGAGAGAGATACAAATAGACTTAGACAGACATATATGAACAGACTTAGATATGAACAGAGATAGATAGATAGATAGATAGATAGATAGATAGATAGATAGATAGATAGATAGACGACAATTTATTCATCGCACCCTGTACATGGCAATGAATAATACACAATTTCATCACCGGGCGGCAAAAATGTGACGAAGAGTTACCGGAAGAAACTAGAAGCGACTTCCGTCATTTGGTGTCGTGGTTGTCTCTTCCTGTTTTGTTCATGTTTGCTTTCTTTCCCGCTTTTCAAATCTTCTTTCTTGTTAAGACAGAGACATCGCCTTTCCTCCTCTTCTCTGCTTACTCTCTCTCTCCTCTCTCTCCCGCCCTCTCTCTCTCTCTCTCTCTCTAGGGAAGATGCAGTGAATCTGTTTTTCCTTTCTTTTCTTTGCCGTCTAACCTGGATTTGGATGTCCGCAATATCCCTTCGTTTCCTTTGAGCAAGCCCAGACTTCCGCTGTTCGTCTTATTACTTTGTTAATTATTTATGGTTCTTGTATCTTAATTCTTTTAACATTTCGTTGGCAGAAACTCCATCAATGATTGCCTATGCTAATATGATTGGTTGCTTAGCGACCACACCATATCGACGTCCCTTTTTTATCGGCACATCGCCATTTTGAATCCAGCCTAGCATCACGGCATCTTGATTTGGTTTCCGGCCAAATTTCTGGATTTACGAAACGACATGCCACGTGTGGCATCTTCTTCATTCAGCACGCCGCCATTTTTGGATTTTACTTACCAGTAACAAATCATTTCACTCAAGTGATTTCAAGCGAGTTTAAATCTTCCTGTCATCAATGACCATAAGACATGAACATTTTCATAGACTTACCACTTGCAAGTGATTACTATGTTTCTTTTTCTGGACTACTAAATTAACCACATTGGCATATCGATATACTTTGGAATATCTTTACAAGTTTTTAATATTTCACCTCTGACCAGGTGTAACACCCTCTCCGGCCGTCCAAGACTTCCAACACCGCAGCTGGTCGCTGAAGTGACTGTTTCAATCCCGAGCTAATCTTATCCCACGTTTTGATTTAAGGTTGATCATGAGGCAGCCAAAATCGAATCGTCGAAGGTATCTTTGTGTTGTCCAAACAGGGTGATGACGTACAGGGAAAAATATAACACTCCAATAAATTGAACAGAAATAAATACTGTTTTTATATCAGTCTTTCGTACAATAATTGGTTTATATCAGGGTTCGCATGCAATTAATTATCAGCCCACCCCCGCATCTAAATCGGAAGTGATATTAGCGTTGTTGACTTGGTAAAGCTTGGTTTGCTGTTTTGGTAAAGTTTTCGTCGGCAGATAATCACGTGGGCCTCTTTCTTGTCTCTGATCTCGTCTCCGTCTCTTCTGACTCTCTTCTCTCTTGTGTTTAATTCGCTTCGCGCATTCGTATTTATGGACATTCGCCCAAACTGGCATAAGGATATGGCGGGGTAGGGGCATTTCGGTGAATTCCCTCCCGGTTTACGTCATAACTTTGTAGAATTACCTCTCTTCACCCTCTCTTTTATTATTCTCTTTCACCAACCTCTTCAGTGAGCGTCATGGTGGTGCTAGTGGTTGGGGTGGGGTTCCCCCATCTTCCTCGATGTCTTATCTGCGCCTTCTACCTCGGCCATTTTCCGTCCAGGGAAACTCAGTTCCAAATTCAGTTGTTTAAAAAAATCTACCTTTTCGCTTTCCAGT